CGAAACTGTATACATTCGAATTTTACGGTAATTCTAATTTCGTAAATAGCTTGGTGAATAGATATGCTATAAACAATACTAATTGTAGGGTATTTCAGTGAATTATTTGATGTAAAATGAGTCGAATTATTTATAAAGTTAAATAACCTTTAAACGATATAGATTATACTCCAAGAATTATATATTTATACAACCCTTGATAAGCTATGGCCTTAGATTGTATATATTTGTATTGATTGTTCATATATTTTTTCTTCTAAAGATTAGTAGTTGATCAGCTTTTTGTGCCTGTCACACACCGATGAATGTGTTTTTCTAAGACATTTCGGTTTACTCACGACGTTTTCCTTACGAATATGAATAAAGAAAAATTCAATAGTTCACAGACGGGGAACATTATAGCAACATTATATACTATTCATATGAGTTTCTAAGGATGTATTGAATGAACCTTTTCATAGAATAAATATTACGAGTTAACGAAAATTTCAAACTTTACAAAATTGTTAGTTACAGTTAAGGCCGATTTAACATTAGAAAAATTACTATCATTTAATACGTCAAAGTCACGTAAACACACAGAGTCACACTGCATATTTTAGGGTACAGGAAACCTCTAAATATCGGTAGATTGTAATCCTAAAGGAAAAGCTGTCAATATATCCGCTCGCTTTAAACTTATGTAACATTGTATTGAGAATACTTTGCAGTAGAGAATATATTTTGCCACAAAATTGTTCTTGCTATCTAGACAACCATAACAACGATATACTAGGTTTCTATAGTCATTATACCACATAATTTAGTAAATAAATATCAATATAAATATTTTTAAACTGCTAATAAGACTCGATTAATGAAGTCTAATTTATTTAATGCAATTGATCATCAGTATTGATGTATACAGTAATTTAAATCTATCTTAGTTAAAGACAACGCAGAACAGTTACATCTTAGTAATAAAATAATATTACAGATTACGTCACTACATTGGGAATTGAGATCGTGAGAGCTATTTTAGCATTCTGGTCAGGATCGTAAATTCAGTATCTGGATATTTCGGCTCCTTCATTCATGGAGGCGCGAGTTTGCAAGTGCGTAGAGGGCGCCGCCCGCCCAAGCCCTCCCCGCTCTGACGTCAATCCGCTACCTCACTATAAATATAGGATGCCAAGCACGCCACGGTATTAGGCCTTTACGTTAATCTATTAAGATTTACTTTTTAAGAAAAAAAGCGTTTTCTTTAAATGTGTAAAAGTTATGTCAATAAAAGACAATACTAAGATTTACTTTACTTTAATTATTTTTAGTATAATTGTATGTTTCAATGGTTGTTAATTAGATGTAACAAATATCTTTCTTCTATAAAATTTAAAATAATGATATAGGACTTATTGTTAATACATAATATTGTCTTTAGTTTTCACGAATACTACACATCTAATAAATTTTTTCATATATATAAATAATCCTGTACTACAATATTTACATATATCGACCTCTTATAATAATAACAATTTAATACATATTATTATAATGGGTGTTCAATATAAAGCGGCTAAGTTATTACACTTATAATAAAATAAGCCTTTTTAACAGATTTGTTACAATTCCTATTATTTATCTTCGATTTGTGTCTAGACATTATAAATATTGAACCAATGTGATAGTTAATAATTTCATATTTTACACAAATAAGCATTTCTTACACAATTAATACACACATTGTTCTGTGTTTTTATGTAGTTGATGCAATGGCTGTTATTTCTTCAAATTTGCTTGTCAGATTATTCGAAACGCACCTCAAAGTTCAATCACCTTAGAAGCGTGAGACTTGTTCGAATATTGATTGCGCACCTCATTGTATGATTACGAAACGTATGTTTTGTTACATAACAAGTATCTTGTCAAACACATAACATTTCACTTACTTAAAGATTTAAAATTGAAGTGTGTATGTAAAATGTGCCAAATTGATTTACTCAGTATTAATAATAAACGCAAACGTTTGCTAAAATATTTGTATGAAACCAGAAAAATGCAAAATGTTCACGCATTTATAGTAGCGTTGATTTTTTATTCAGTTTAAACAATACTCAATTACAACAAACACAAACAAAAATTGATGCCTTCCACAGATAAAAAAACAGACATTAAGCCTTCTAAGTGCGGCTTGCTGTTGCAAGCGAAATTAATATAAAATAACGACAAAATAAAAACAAATTTATAGTATTTTCTTATCTAATATACTTTCCTTTAAGAAGACTTTAATTACAAGATTAAAGTAAATCTCTGTAATTAAGACATAAGATTAATGCTCGAATAGACCGAGAAATTTGATGAATCACTCATCTTGCAATGTTAAAAGGATTGCTTTCAATGGACTTCCCTAAATTATGTCCGTTTAAAATTTCGATTCATCGTGAAACAAATGACTTGTCAAAGCAAGGTTGCATTTGATTTAATGAGCAATCATTGTTTTTTTTAAAGAATAGGGGGGAAACGGGCAGGAAGCTCACCTGATGTCATGTGATATCGCCGCTCATGGTCACATGGACACTTCCATGGATGTTGAAAGTCAAAGTCAAAGTCAAATCGTTTATTTCAATTAGACCATCTAAAATGGCACTTTTGAACGTCAAAAAAAAAATATAAAGATGATTCTAGTTGCCCCTTCCAAAAGGTAGTTTCGTGTGGAGAAGAATGGGCAAGAAACTCCACACTTACTCTTTTAAAATAGGTTTACAATATTTTGTTACATTTGTTAAATAATTATATGTGAAGACAATGTACTCTTAGAATAAACTACTATACTAAAAAAGTTAGTATACATGTTCCTCACATATTTACAAATATCGAAACCTTAGAATATTAACATTAAAGAGTAATAAAAATATTAAAAAAACACAACAAAACAGTGTGTGAGATACAAAAAAAAATAATTACATTTGTAGCATTATATAAATTAAAAAATAATAATAATAATAATAACAAAAATATGTTAAAGCAAAAAATCAGCAACCAATTTGATTTTGTCCAGGCTATAGAGCCAATCATAGGATTGTCCTATGGAGCAGGACCAGCATGTATAATTTCGCAAAATATATTTCAACATAAAATAAAGACGTAAATATTCATAAAATGTTCTTGGAGCTCGTAGTTTTTAGTTTATCCTATTAGTAGAATAGCCGGCGGGAACATTACAGCCTCTGTTATTACTGATTGTAGGATAAGGTTATATTTCCTTTGAAAATACCTTTTTCACATTTTAAATCTATGTTACTCGTATATGGTGGGTAGCAATATTATATCATGATAATGAATACTCTAGAAGTTTTTTATACTAATTAAGCTATCTATGAAACAATCCAATTTTTCTTAGTAGATATTATTAAGTATTATATAATTATGTAGTTGATGTTTCATGCGCAGTTTACATCGGATGATTTAAAAAGATAGATAGTTACAACAGTAACTATCTATATAATAGTATCTTTAATCATAATACAAACGCAATTTTTATATTTGGATAATGTGAATAAAAAATGTTATTATATTAACTATGGTTTAGTAATTGATTTCTCATAAAGAAGAATATATACTTCAACAAGGAAAGATAAAGATACGAGAGAATGTCATAATATATATCTTACATATCTATGCGAAAATTTGGCTAGTAGATAAGAAAATATATTAGATGAAAATATAAATTACTGAATTCAAATAAAGGTATTTTTTAAATTCAAATGTTAGAGGTATCAGAGGCGATACACTAGTCTTCAATTGTTTAAAATAATTCGATTGGAATCCCTTCTATTACATGTAACCGCATTACGCACGTATAAAGTCGAATGACGTAATAATTTTGGTAAGAAAAATAATAAAGAAGAAAGTTAGAAAAAGTTAGGAGCGAGCGTGCGTACTTAAGATGGCTAATTTGATTTTATTGTGAAAGTTTGCGTGTTATCTGTAAAGTCCGTGGAAATTCCTTTACAGGAATTATACAATACCTGTATAAAATATAAAACTAGTGACTTAAGAGAGATTTACATCTAATATACTTGGAATCTGGTTTAATCAAGCTTTTGTTTTCGATATTGATTTGAATTTCCTTTAATGAAACCAAATTGTAGAAACGGTTTCGTACTCGTAACACTACAATCTAACTTATCATATAGACCCATTTGTCTCTGTTACACACATATGTGTTTTCGCTGTTCACTAGAAACAGGCAATTATTTTAGTTAAAGCCATTTCAATGTTATAGTTTAATTAAATATGATGACTTGAGACTGTTTAGTCTGAATAAGCAACAAGTATTCGTTGTTTAATTAATTTTTTTTATTCCTCGTCCATAAAAAGAGTGTTCTTAGATTGGTTTGCGTGCAAAGTCACGACGATCATGTTTGTTTGTATCCAAATATAGACGATTGCTTGTCACACGTAAATAATACATTACCGCAGCTACTTTTCTTAACAACTTAGGACTTTAATGCTTCTTTATGAATCAATGTTTTTGTCGTATTTCAAATAATTATTAGGTAAATTGTCTACTATTAGGCAATAACCAGTAACTCTTATTAATAAGCAAAGTAGAAGAGAAAATGATATTTTTCGTAAATGTTTGATAGAACATTAAAAAAACGTTACACTCATTTTATTAAATCCGCTTTCTTAGGACGTTGTAATCTAACTTTATGAAGATTTATTTTCTTCTTAATTGGGATTTTATTTTAATTAGCTTTTGTACAATATATTTCATTTATTAACGCCAGAAAATCGTTTTTAACAACTTTCTTAAAAACCTGTAATAATATACATTTATGTCACGACAACTTTAATTAACAAATTTATTCTTTGCAGGCAGATCCCGCGTAACTGGTGCAGCAAATCATAATTCAAGTGTCGCCAGTCAAATAATGTTGGGCATGGGCCCCGGTTATGTAGGCCTCTGCACTTAGTGGAGGGAGATGCGACTGTGGGGGGCGGCCACGGTCAACATGCGGGTGTGTTGCATCACGACTGTTTTAGCGGCGCTGGCGCTGCGCTCAGCCGCCGAACCAACACCCCGCCGGTACCCGGCCGAATGGCACGCTGGACGTGAACTGCAAATCCGTTCACGGCCGCTACATGAACTTTTCGAATCGGATACCACGGCCACTGAACCCGAACGGAATTACGCCTCGCCGTTGCACAAAGAACGACGACGTACGCGTACCAACAAACGCGCGCCACGGCTTCCTGGTGAAGTAGCGAGCCAGATGATGCTGAGGGCCGCACGATCTGGACGACCCTACGATGTACCTCAAATAGGTGAGTGAATTACGTTGATATACTTCTAGCGTAGCCAATAACGGACTGAGCTATTTATTATGACTTCCGTGTAGCTGTGGCAGCAGGTCCATGTATATAATTTATCCATTTATATATACTCAAATATTGATATACAATTTAATAGTAAATAAATATATTAACTTAGCCCTGTTGCACCGTAGCAGATTTGCGCCAAAAGCAAATTATATAAGTAATCAAAGCTGTAGTTTGGAGATGTCTTAGACTGTCATAAGTTTATACAACGTAACTATTGACTAACTTTGCCTCATAAGAAATATTATTTAGAAATAGTTATGATTTGGCATTCTGTTAAGGAGGAAGCTTGTAGTTTATTGTTTATAAGAATGCCAAATTGTAAAATGAATGCTTTACGACCGATTTGAGCGCGACGCTGTGAAAACCGCCGTGTGAGTTCGAAAAATGAGTTACAGAATCGCAAGGCTGCTCATTAATTACATTAACAAACAAAGAAGCAAAACATATATTCTACAGGGATAGAAGTCCGATTACAGAAATATAGGTTAGCAAACCCTTAACTGAGCGCATCTTCCTCTGTTTTGCTCCATCATCACTAAATGGCGCTATTTTACAGCGTCGTTCCTGGCACAACTTCGGTTTACAACTTAATTAAAATTATATTTTACATATTAAAGTTACGAGCTCAAGTAAGCAGGCGCCGTTCTCGGAAGCAAACTTGGTACAACAAGGATTCTTGTGTACATCTTCTTAACTAGTTCTGTACATTACGATACACTATTCTTGTTTATTAAAATATATATTAAATAATAGTACTTTATAAGATCAAGGACATTTTGAAAATGTGTTATATAAAACGAGTGGTATTTTTATTTTCATAGATACCCATTATTCGATTAAAATCTAGCACTTGCCACCATAAATATTGTCAGTTGATCATTAATTTCATCGTTTGTCAAAGTCTGTCAATCGATGCAAAGCATTACTGATTCATGAGCTGTATTCGATATAATGGATCCTAGTTAACTAGAATATTCATCGTCTTATCAAAACTTGCGCACGTCCTATTCAATTTTAAGATAACAATCGGTCTCTATAAATGTAACTGGATCCTGGCTACGTTACAGTATATTTTAATATTTATTCTTTGAAACGCCTTTTTATTAATATAAGAGCAATGTTCTTTTATTAACAAACTACAGACGTATACAAATACTGTATGTTAATTTGCATAAGACTTCATTACGTAAATTTTTAAACAATACTACATCTTCAAATTTACAAACGTTAAAAAATTATAGGAATTCTGAAAATAGACAACTGAAATTAATAACAGGTTCTAAATAATAATGGAAAGCAACACCTTGTGGCTTCGTCGTGTGACATTCATCCCTGAGATCGTAGGTTTGAACCCGGCTATGCACCAATAGACCTTCTGTCTATGCGCTTTTAACACTCGCTCGTACGAAGAAGGAAAGCATCGTAAGGAAACCTAAATTAGACCCAAAAATTCGACGGCGTGTCAGGCACAGAAGGCCGATCACCTGCTTGCCCATAAGAAAAAAAAACAATTTTACAGATAAAGAAAGGAATGACCCAGACTTAAAAAGTTTGTAGTGCTAGTTTTTTCATCCCATATAATTTAAATATGTATTTTATTTTATTCTATAATAATCTATGTATCATGCTGAAATAGATAATAAATACCTGTGGGAGTATTGTCTAGCCAGAGCTTACTTCCTCCTATTTTATTTATGGCACCAGCTGTAGTTCATTGAACTGTAGGTGTTATATTCTTCGAATGAAATTTCGCTTTGAGAAGGTAGCAAAAGTTATTTATTTTAATGAACTGTCAAATATGTCACAATATACTTTTTCTTAAAATGTTTGATGAATTAATATGTATAAAAATCATACAAAAGTAGCGACCATTGTAACTATATTATGCTTACGTATATTGATAAATCTTATATTGGAAAACTGTATCAATTAAGTGAGTTTGCCTAATAAATATGTATACAAAACATTACTTTTCTTCGAAATAAATGATTATTAATAATCATTTGCAATAAAGCCTAACTAATTCTGATATAAACAAGTACCTACTAACAATATTTTATTTTTAATACCATTAATAATACGTTACAATATCCCTTTGGGAAATCTATTTTTTTCCCTAACCTTCAGCTTGTAGAGGAATTAAAAAATCATGTATTTTTAGGAAGGTACGCTTTTGTGAAAATTAACTGACATTGATGAACCACTTGTTCAAACAAAATTTTAATCGAAATACGTATACGTGTGTGTCATTTTAACTTTAAAATGTTAACTTAAAATTTGAAGGGGTTCAAATAAACTTTCTCAAAACTATTTTCATTCTTTATGTATGTTCATTTGTTTTATATTTCATAAAATAGATTTTTATTCTAACACTTGAAATTTGTTCTCGTTTATCCAGATAAGCCCATAACTTTGTTAAAACATGTTGTTCCTGGTAAGGCTAATTTGAAACTGGTTATATTTTAAATCTATACCATAATGTGATTTTTTAACCATCAAACACCCATCTCTCATACGTCACGATGTCCCTACACGACGGACAGACATAGTACAACATTAGCGTTTTATCGGTTATTTAAATATAGTAACAAGGTAACTACTAAGTAAGCGTTGATGGCTTGAGTAATTATTGATCGGGTTTTTTTAAGTATATGTTTTAAATATTCAAATGCAAGAGAGTATTTCATTTATTGGTATTATGACATCAGGGCATTGTAAAGATCCCCGAAAATATTTATTGAAGAAACATATTTATTTTTAAGTAGAATAAAAACATATTGACAAATACAATATATTAGCTGTATTAATTCCCGGCAAAAGTTTCTATATAAACGCTAATCTAATTGTGTAACTTTACAATCTTTTGGAAATACTCCGACAATATTTGATTTATGGCAAACTTGCAACTTTGTATCACGTTATACTTGTATACTTTTATTACGAACTTAATATCAGTAAATTATAAGCTAATAAATATTAAATTTATACGTAAATTATTCCTTGTTGCTTTGAGTTATAGACAATTTTATGCCCCAATAAATTGAAAAATAACCCTTTAAGCGGTTACGCACTTAAGTGTTAACTTGTAATATTCCGATTGAAATTACCATAAACTGTAGCGTAGCCGCTGATTACTCCGACAATGATGAATTTGCCACTTCCGTTTTTCGTTAGGGTTTTATTGTTAACACATAAGATTGTAGGCGATATACAAATATATTTCAACTGAAAAATAGTAGATACTGATGAATTATAATTAATAATAAATTTATTCTAATTTCTAGCGTCTTTGAAGAGAGAAATTAAGCTCTCGTTTCATTACACGAGAATAAAATTTTCATGTAAGATTTAAAATTAATTTCATGCTCATTTCAACTTGAATTAGGTGTATCATATTCTTATTACATTTTAATACTCTCTTGGCTTTATGAATTCAGTGTAAGAATTTCTAGGTTAGATTAAATAAGCCTATAGCCTTGTTTTCTATTTTCCTTATATTGCACATGGTTTCGTTAGTGTGACTTTTTTATATCATACTAGCTGACCCGGCAAACGTTTGTTTTGCCATATTAAGGCCATATTTAGTATATTATTTCTAGGAAACATTTTTTAGTACTTACAAGAAAAATAACTATAGTAAACTATATATAAAATAATAAAAAATAGGGGTTGATCGTAGAGGGGTGAAAATTAGGAGTTTTATGTATTTTTGTATGCTGTATCATTAAAAAATAAAAACAAAAAAAGTCTAAAAATTAGTTTGAAAGATAGATAGTAGCCGATTCTCAGACTTACTGAATATGAACATAAAATTTCATATGAATCGGTCGAGCCGTTTTGGAGGAGTATGGGAACCAACATTGTGACACGAGAATAATATATATATATATAAATTATTCTTACCAAAGGACTAATGACGTCACCACTAAATGGTTAAGACATTATGTGTCAGAGCAGTGGCGATACTGTCAGTTGTCACTGTCATAGCATATATGTCACAGAGCTCATAAAATTAAAACGTCAAAGTCAAATTAGTTTAAACCGTTAATACTCGTAGCTTATTCGATTTCCTAATATAACTAGATCTACAAGTTTAAGACTATTAATAGTGCGAGTCTCATAATTATAGTTATAATCTAGATTTAATTATGCCATAAGGTAAGGTAACTTAACACGTGTCTACTTTATTACTCCCATGATACATAAGAAATATTAACGCAGTTAATTAAGCTAAATTTAACGATTTCTGTGCCGAACAATCTAGAATAATTTGTATATCATTTAATTTTGAGTTAGTGTTTTGTATTACATACAAATTATTATAATTATTTTTAAAGAATAAGTTATGATAGTAAAGATGACTTCGTTTGTATTTCTAAATGAAGTAAATAAGATTAGAAGTAAAATTAGAAGCTTTTAATGTATATTTCTTTTTTTGACGTTCATAAGTGAACTTTGTGTTACCTACATGAATAAATGATTTTTGACTTTTGAAAAATTCATGTGAAGTTTTTGGTAGCTTTTCAGACTGTATCATTGGTTTAGTATGTATGTATGTTTTTAAGATTTTTATATTCTTGAAGAAATCATACGTAGTATGGTTTATGGTATACGGTTTAAGTAGTATAGTTGAGACTGCTTTTATAACCTCTGAATATTGCCGTAAAAGCACCACTACGCTTTCAGCCTATAAGAATTGCCGGAATGTACCTCCGTACATTCTATTGTCATTTCCACCTAGGAATTTTCATTCACTAAAGGGCACCAAAAATACTAAAATCCTAATATTTTATACCAATATTATACAGATATGATTCTTACTTTGTTGGCATCGAATAGAATCCGAAACTTCTCAACTGATTAGATATATTCTTTTACCACCTAAGGTGTGAAAAATATACCAATAAGAATACCTATTTCGCGTACCGCGCAGAAACTTAATACATAATAA